CCAGGACCAGAAGAAACCTCCATCAGAACCAGAACCAGGAAGAAACCTCCATCAGAACCAGAACCAGGAAGAAACCTCCATCAGAACCAGAACCAGGAAGAAACCTCCACACCTCTACAAACCTCTACAGAGTCTAACTGGTTCCAGGAGCGACTTAAATATTGGTATGTCGGTTCAAATCTTCCATCAGAATACACTGTAATTTCTAGAATTGGTTCCGAAAACCTACGATAACTCCTTAATAAATACTGCAGATAATTACACACAGCAAGAAAACAAATTATATCTAGCAGAGAGATGGAAAAAGAAATAAATGATAAAGAAATAATCAGTCAAAAGGGTTTTATTGTCCCTTTAGCTCAGAGACTGAAGAACGGAGGTAGAGGTGGAGACTGAGATACAGGACCAGCCCTAACTCTCTCTGACTTTACACAGGAACTTTACAACAACTTAGTGCATTTATTTTTATATATTTATTTATTTGACGTCATATGTTGGAAATTTACTTGTCGAGCCGAATATTTGGTCAAATTTCACTCCGTGTGTTGGACGATTGGTCTGGGCATCAGAAGCAGAGGTTCTCCAGAGCTGTGAGGGTGTCTGCTCCCTGCTGTTTTTGGCGACATAGGTGCTAACATTAGCTTTGGTTTAGGGCTCCCTGCTGTTTTCGGCCAAAGCAGTGCTAGCATTAGCTTTAGCTTAGGGCTCCCTGCTGATTTTGGAGAATCTTTGGCTAAAGCAGTGCTACCATTAGCTTTAGCTTAGGGCTCCCTGCTGTTTTTGGCCACAGCAGTGCTAACATTAGCTTTAGCTTTGGGGTAAACGGCTGGCGACGGTTTAGAGCTGCAGAACCGTCTGAGAGGCCCAGAGCCTCCCTCTGAGAACCGGTTAAAAACAGCCTGGGTTTGACTCAAAAGAGGAAGAGGTTGGTGTCCCAGACTGGCCTGTGCTCTCACCAACGGCTCCTGAGAGCTGAAACACACCTTGAGGACTTCCCATGAGGGGCGGGCGGGTCCCGTCCTCCAGTGTTGGGAAACGGCGCTCTCTTTACGCAACTGTGACTTGTGGTGGGATTCCCCCCGGCTTAGAGTTGGGACATCTGCCGGAAGGAGGCAGCCACAGTGGGGATGTGCGCCCTGGTGTCAGGCTCACGAAGCCACAGGCCTGCAGGCCACGGCGGGCCAGGCCTCAACTGCCTGTTTCCAGACTCACATCTTCTACTTTCAACCACTCTGGTCCTCCCTTCGCAGTGGTTAGATGCCGGATTTACCCCAAACGTTACATCCTAGACACAGCTGCAGCCTCTGAGACAGAGCCAGGCCCCCTCTGCCCCCACTGCTCTGGAAGCATCTCTGAGGCCCAACTCTGGATCAAAGTTTGAGGAGATAAAAACAGTTATACCCCCCCATAACAGGTGTCCACCCGGCAGGACATCTGGGGGGGAAAGCTACTGGCCAGCATGCAGAGGCTCCCCAGTCTGGAGTTGGTTTCCATTTAGGCTGGAAAGCACACAAACTGGAAGGAAAATGGGAGTTTATTGAGCTGGAGGCACGACAGACAGCGCAGATGATAAACACACTGGACAGAATAAAGTAAAGAGGACTCGTACAAGTGCTGTTCTCTTGTGGCTTAAACACCGACTGCAGGCCAGCTGGACTCCAACAGACCTCTGGGAAATACTGCATGTCAGCACCACAAACACAAGACAGATCTGGGTTCTGACTACTGGAGCTCAAACTAACGTAGTGCTGTGGATTTATTTGGGGATGGTAGTGTTTCCGGGCCGTGTTTGTTAGTAGGTGGTTGGAGACTAACAGGGAGAAAACATCTACATTGTTCACTCAAAACATTTTGAACCATGAATACATTCTTCTGCAGGACAGATTTTACAGATCAGTTAATTTCTGACGGAAACTCAGAGGCACAAAAACAGAAGACAGTGACCACTGGAAGGCGGTCTTCACACAGTACAGGCGCTTTGACCATGAGAGGGAGAGCTGGACCCTCTCTGCTGCAGGTGGTGGACACATCCTGGAAATGCTAACAGCTTCATTACTCACAACTAATGGAAAGAAAGCCAGAGGCCCAGCAGCCAACAGTCCTGTGGTCAGAGGCAGCTCTCCTGGGGGGGGCAGCTTAATGCGTGGCTGTGGACAGCTTCACCCACAGAGGAGAGCAGGCAGGGGGGGCTCACTCCCCCTTGAAATGTGGACGCCTCTTCTCCTTGAAAGCTGCCAGGCCCTCCAGCCGGTCTTTAGTGGGAATCACCTGCAGAACAATCCAGAGAAAACCAGACCAGTAAAAAGCTGAGAAACCATATGAGGTGCACACCTTAATCTGAGCTCAGCCTGCCTCCGTCTCTATTCTTCTGAGGCGGGTAATGCCGGGCGGTGTATCTCAGAAATCCTTCAGCCTGCCTCGGTGTTTCAGAGTGGCTCCAGGCTTTAGTTCGGGCCCCATCAGGCTGGGGGGCCTCAGGCTCTGCTCCTTAAAAAGCCTTTCCTCTTTTCCAGGTTTGGTTCCTTCATCTATGTTTTAGTTTTGACCTCTTAATGATCTATTCTGCTCTTTCTCCCAGTCCCTGCTGAGGAGCAGCAGCCCCGCAACATGCTGCAGCCACCACCGTGCTTCATGGGGGGTGGGCTGCTTCTACCCCTCCAGGGAACCGGGTTATTGACCAGCTTCAAAAGAGGATCTGTCAGCGTCTAGACAGCGGTCAGAGAGCACCTGTTCCTGGTTAAACTTCCACCTGGACCTGTGCTCTGTCCCTGTGTGTCTGTCCAGGGAGGGGCAGGTCTGTCCAGGGAGGGGCAGGTCTGTCCAGGGAGGGGCAGGTCTGTCCAGGGAGGGGCAGGCTTTAGACGCTTCCTGATTCACATGAACACAACAGCAGCAGTCCTGTGCAGAAGCTAATCTTTAGAAGAAATCCTTTTAATCTGGATCAGTTGTGTTGAAGCAGGAAAACATCTAAAACCTAACCCTGATCTCCACTGGTGGAGACCATGTTGGTCATAGCCGCTAGCCGTAAACTAGCAACAGATTCTAGCTAAAGGGACCAAACCGGACAGGTCCACAGCATCAAGACCTGTGGGCCGTTGGGGTCAGGGCCTCATTTAGGACAGATCCTCTCCATTAATGAGGTGAAGGCCAATCTGATGCTGCTAATGTAAAGCTGACCCAAAGAGCAGCCCCCAGTGACCAGAAGCTGGAGCCAAAAGGCTAACTCACATAAAGACATCCCTGGAGTCCGAGCACTCACTCAGAGCTCAGAACACAGCAGCTAATTCAACACCCACCTGGGCATAGCAGGCCTCTTCAATGGCCAGACCTGTGGACAGATCCACCTGAAGAGAACAGGACATCCGTCAGTGAGCGGCCACCAGGACAGAGAGAGACCTGAGCCCCCCCAGGCTGCTGCACTCACCTCTATTCCCTGGTTGATTGCTAGCTTTGCCATCCTTATAGCGATCGGACCCTGTGGAGCAGAACAGAGGCTGACTTACCCTCAGAAGTGACACTTAACATATTGATGATAACTGTAAAATTGTGTCTACTTTGTCGATCGCTTTGGAGAAAAGCGTCTGCTAAATGTTTAAGGGTTGGGCTCCCGTCTATTTGAACCCGTCCAGCAGAGCTGCTCCACGTTAAGACAATCAGACTGTTTTCATGTGTTGTTCCAAGATGGAGGAAGGAGCTAGCAGGACTAGAACTGGAACAATGGGTCTGCTTTGTGAGTCGCTTTGGAGAAAAGCGTCTGAATGCAGAAACAGAAACCTAAAAGCCCCAAAAACAGTTTAAAGCCCCAAAAAACAGCTTTAAAGCCCATCAAACAGCTTTAAAAGCCCCCAAAAAACATTTTTAAAAATCCCAAAACAGCTCTAAAAGTCACAAAAACAGCTTAAAAAACAGCTTTGAGATGGAGGAAGGAGCAACCAGGACTAGAACTGGAACACTGGGTCTGCTTTTTAGTCGCTTTGGAGAAAAGCGTCTGAATGCAGAAACCAGCCCTGAAAAAAGTTAAAAACCCCCAAAAAACAGCTTTAAAGCCCCAAAAGACAGTTTAAAAAAACCCAAACAACTTCAAAGCCCCAAATAACTGCTTTGAGATGGAGGAAGGAGCTCCCAGGACTAGAGCTGGAACACTGGCTCAGCTTTGGGAGTCCCTTTGGAGAAAAGCCTCTAAAGGCAGAAACAGAAACTATGTGAGATGGAAGGAGCTGTGATTGGCCGTGTGGCTGCCCACTGAACCGGACCCTCTGCGGCTGGACTCAGGAGCTGGGGGGGGTGGGGGTGGGGTCACCTGGGGGTTGATCTCCCGAGCCAGCTCCAGGGCCCTCCGGTAGGCGGCGTCCCCCCCCTCGTTCTGCTCCACACAGTGGCTGACCAGCCCCAGGCGGCAGGCCTCCTGACCGTCCACCACCCGGGCAGCAAAGATCAGCTCCTTGGCCACAGACACCCCCACGGCCCGGGGGAGGCGCTGGGTGCCCCCTGAGGACCCACAGACAGAGACAGGTGGAGCTCTGGTCCCCCGACTGTCCCCCTCAGCCCCCCCAGAGCAGCAGCCTCACCGGCGCCGGGGATGATGGCCAGCTTGGTCTCCACCAGCCCCATTTTGGCAGAGTTAGCTGAGGAGAGACGACAGGGGACAGGGGGGTCTGGGGTCAGGACAGAGGGAGCTGACCAGGAATCTAACCGCTCAGAAACC